TGAAAGGACAAAAACAGGTATATGGGAGTGAAATTAATGATGGTGTGAGGATAAAGAATTTCATAATGTACATTGATTAATACATAAAGTATTTTATTATCATTTATATTATATAAATAATGTATGTCAAATTGAATCAACCTCATAGTCAATATATGTTGATACCATTTACGAATCCTTTTTGTAACTGAAACTAATTTTTGATAATTATATTTGTTTCAAGACAACAGTATTAGGCTTAGTGTAATTTTTAATACTAATTTTGTTCTTCTTTGCTCTATTAAGCTTTATATAAGAAGAAAATTGTATAATAATATTTCAACCACTTATGTTCAACATATTCATTATCAACGACGCTTTTCAGTCAACACCAGATGTCATTAGTCCACCTGGGAAACAAATAACATAAAAATATTTTTCTTGCTCTTGAATGTTTCAGATATCGACAGTTTTAAACATTATAAAAACAAGTTAAATATTTGCTAAGTTACGTTTCGTTAATCCTTGTTGGTAATCCTTGCTTTACACTTACTGATGTAAAAATTACCATTCCAAAAATTTCAGCAGCGTATTTCGTTCCAAAAACTTTAGCAACAGCAGCCGGAATACAGACAAAAACAAGAGGAAATGTAGCAAAGAGACAACAAATCCAGATCATGTACATCACTTCTCCTCCGTAAGGTGTCGCCACTAGAGTGAACAGCAATACTGTCTTTATTCCCAGCAAGAGAAGACTTGTTAACTGAAGATTTATACATATGTATACATATAAATAAATTATAACTTAATGTGACTAAAATTAAAAACGAATTACAAATACAAGAAATATGAAACAACGGGTGGATAAACAGTGAAAGATTTTATAATGTTTAACCCAAAGATAGGTTTTATATATATATACGTACATATTATTCTGTCCAGATTTTGTGTTAAGTTTATATTAGTTTCTGAATCCTTTTATTTCAGTGAGAAAAACTACTCTGAATTGTTATCAAATCCACTACTTAGGTATGTGAGCTGAAAATGTTCGGATAGTCCATTTCTGTGAGTTATTTTAAACAGTCTCTGAAAACAGTGGTTTTCTAAATTTTATTTTTCAAAACTATTTTTACTGTTTCCATATCTTTGAGTATTATTACAGAAATCTTCTTTCGTTTTATGTACAAAGTAAACAATGGGATATGCTGTTACCACGCTAGGGATTCAAACACGAATTTTATCATTATAAGCCCTACAGTTAACCATTAAGCCTATTATACAACAAATATTATTTTAATAATTATTTATAACAACACAAGTTACTTCGCTTTACACATTCTTACCTGGTAAGATAGTTTGTCATAAATTAAGCCCACAATCACTCTGCTGATGGCATGAACAGCTCCAGCTACAGAACCAGTGGTGGACAGAAACGTGCAATATTATACTCATAATAAGTCATCTTGAGATACGGAATGAAACCAAAACCTAATCTATAAAAACATTGATTGTGATGTTGAAAACTAATATAAAATAAGAAGAACTTGTAGTTACAAACTAAGTACCAACACCAGGACTGTGTTGAGACACTCTCACTGGAGTGGTGAAAGAAAGTTCTTTTTATACTTAAAAACTACTTTCTTACTGTTTTTCAGACATACGGACAGACGTTTATACAAGACGAACTTTTTTTAATAAAAAACTTAGTTTATAGAGCTAAATCTTTCATGGTTATAACTTGAAAAAATCTCGGAAAATAAACTAATATCAAGTTCATAAACTTACCTTATAAAAAACACTCACAAACATGAATGGATAATATAAACAAATACAAACTATTGATAAAAGGTAAAATTCTTTCATTTTTAGAGCTTCTTTTGGTGACACATGAAGTTTAACATCACCATTACTGTACGGTTGTTCGTCATCAACGTTCATATTGGCTGAATTTTCTTCCAATGATGCACATAATTTGTCGTTATTTATTGTTGTTCTACAGTCCAAGTCTTTCGTAATTGGTCCAATAAGTTCTTTACTACACGATTGTCTTGACGTTTCGTACACAGTAGTTAGTTCACTGGATAATGTTTCTTCCTGTATTAAAAATATGAATACAGTTGTTTCCAATATATAGAAACATACAATACGATATAATGGAAAACAGACGTGCCAACTTTCTGATTTTCGTATTACCTGACTAAGGAGACATTTTAAGCAATGCTATTTTTTTACAAACCAATAAGGTACATTTGTATTAAACACTGGCCAAACTTCTTTATATGAAAATGTTTTAATTTCCTTAATGTTTCTATTTAATAGTATAAACATCTGTTTTCATAGCTCTGGTTCAAATCTTTAAGTGTGTATCCTTAGATGTTAAGATTTCTACTTTACAATAAAGTAACACTACACATATTGATAAAAACAGTCGAAATATTGGAGAAGAAACAGAAAAACAAGTGTTATAAAGAAAACGTATCTGGAACATATATAGTAGTGGTACTTATCGCTATTTTACAAAACTCTTACGCTCATTACAAAAACTATGGATAGGAGTAGTGAAGCGTTTCAAAAAATGTAATAGAAACAAGAAAATTAATTATGCTGCCATCTTTTGGTATATAGAAGAGTTAATTATCTTCCAGGTTACTCATGTTTATATGTTTATCAATCATCTAGTTTTGTGTTCATTATGTAACCGACATGTATCCGAGCTGAAGTTAAAAGATCAAGTTTTGAAATAACGTAGTTTAATCAAATTCATCTAACCTGATTTGACTCTCGTGGTAATTCTTTGTACATAAGCAGCCCAATCAGTAGAATACCACCAGTAACACTTACCATTATTTATTGTTCTTGTACAGTCCAAATCTTTCGTAATTGGTCCACTAAGTTCTTTACAACACGATTGTCTTGACGTTTCGTACACAGTAGTTAGTTCACTGGATGTTTTTTCTTCCTGTGTTAGAAATTCAAATACACTTGTTTCTTTTTTTTTTGAAACAGATAATACAATATACTAATATAGCAGTGTAAGACTAGAGGGAAGGCAGCTAGTCATCACCATCCACCGCCAACTCTTGGGCTCCTCTTTTTCCAACGAGTTGAAACTGAAAATAGCGACAAAAAAAAACGTAAAGTGTTTAACATGGTAAAGTCAAACATATCTGAATGCAAAGGATGTTAGATAGCACTTCAACTTTCTGAAAGCCTTTGTATTATTGAGTTTCTATTCTGATGCTGTACTGTGATATGTAGTACAGTTGTGTGTATATAGGCCTATTTACCGGTTGTTTATGTCTACTCCTACCATCATTTACCACTATAGATCCTGGCTGGCTCGCCACTGTCAGATTTTAGTATGAAGAGGCGGATTATCTACATTAGGTTTCTGTGACTTGTTGGCGATAAATTTCAATAATATACAAACAGCTCAAATCCATTTGTTTTAAAATAACATATTAAAAAAAATTAAACACATATA